ATTTCTAGAAGGAAATTGGATCAGTGTGTTCTGTTCTCATTTGCTACTGTAATAGCCATCAGGAGACATTTGTGTTATCATTCAGGAAGAAATAAAATAATCTTCTCCGACTTTTTATTTGACTGTAAAGTGTAAATTTCAGATGGTTTATAAGAACAGAATTATTTAAAACATAAATTACAAAGTGGGTGCAAATTGGGTTACACGTCTAAGTCTTTATGTAGAAGTTACTTCCTTCCTCTGAGCCTTGCAATTTATGGATAGAATGAGTTTGAATATATGTGCTTGTATAATAAATATGCATTATTTTTATCCACCTTTGAGTAGTTTCACTTCTATAAATTTTATGTGTTAATTTAAGAAAATGTATCTATACAAAAAATAAATTTGTTTTATTGCAATACTGTTATTTTTTGACAGTATGTCAGATGATGAACAGGAAAGTGGATGTGATACAGTGGATGGTTCCCCAACTTCAGACTCTTCAGGACATGACAGCCCATTTGTGGAAAATGGCTTTGTAGCCAATAATAATAAAAATAAGGAAGCAAGAGCCTCAGTTAATCCTGAAACCAAATCAACTGTTTGCACAGTAGTGGTACCACCAATGAGACTTGAAAACAGGTTACATCTTGATGAACAGATGGTGAATACAGGTAAGTTGGTTCGGATGTCTTTTTCTTTCTATGCCAGTAGATAAGAATAGAAATTTGAGTGTTTATTCAATAGCTGGATATCTGAAGATTTTGACTTATTCATGTATCTGCTAATCCATATTAAACACTTCTAAATACTGCTGGGTTTTGACTTTAATTAGTGTACTGTATTATTGTTTCTCCCTATATGCTGAAGCAAATGAAACTTTGCCTAACTTTTGTCAGAAGAGAAAAGTTACAACAAAAACATAACATTGTTTATTTGTATCTTGGAAGATGCTACGTGCCAGCCACTGAGAAAGGGTCGGTCTGTCCTGGGAAGAATAAACCAGTCTTCTGTCGTAGGAAACCGTCAGCAAAAATCAGCATTCCATCAGCAACATGTAAACTTCAGTCAGGTATGTGTACTTACACCTAAAAGGGTACTTTTTCTGTCTTGAAATGTGCTGAATGCTGACAATTTCAATTGCTGTCGATGGCAATTGCAGGTTTTCAGCAGCTTCATTAAAGAAGTGTTCAAATCTTGAAAAATGGATTTCAACTTAGTGGGCAAGTCATAAGTATCTTTCACTTTTGGTCATTTTCTTAAAACAGCTGACTTTATTTTCGGAAATAATAGAAAAGCCACACTGGCAAAATTGTCAATGTTTACACAAAATCAAAGCATGAGACAAACAGAAAAATATGTTAGCATTTTTATTCCTACCTCCAAATGCTAAAATGCTCATAGTGTGCAGTTAAAATCTACAGCTGTATCTCAGTCTTGTTCTGGTAGTAGTGTGGAGAAAATGCTTGTAGTTTGAGTATCCAGAGATGAGAGAGAGCTTAACAAACTCAACCATTTCTTACCTTTGCTGCCAGGTAGCGAAACTGGGGAGAGATGAGGTTGTGCATGTAGTTCAATCCAATGTTAGGAGATACCCAAAGTTAACTTAAAAGTTACTTTTATCGTTACCCAACAACACAATACATATGTCTGCTGTGGCTGAGAACTGAAGTTGACACATGACATCAAGTTTAATCCTTTTAATTAATTGATTTTGAGCTGTAGCTGCCTCGAGGTTTTAGTTAGATACATTTAGTTAGGTACATTAAACTAAGAGCAGTACCTGTTTGTGTAAGTCTTGCAGAATAACTGTGAATATTGTAAGTTAAATACTAAATGCAAGCGTGCAATACGTAGATAAGAGGATTTAGCAATAATGACTTGAATAGTGTAGATTGAAAGAAACGTTTGGGTGGGTGACACAGTCTCCCCTTCTGCATGATTATGCAAAAGGACTGGTTTAATTAATTCTAAGCAAACCTTAATATGATCAGCATGGTATTAATTTTTAATCTCTTCAATGTCTGCAACTCCTCAGCCTCTTGGCGGAAAGTGTAGAACGTTATTTTCATTACAAAAATTTATGCTGATCCTTCCTTCTTTAGTAGATGCCCTGTGCAGTTTGAAGTCTGCATCATTTAATGAGAGTAATTGATTTTTAGTCTTTTCTCTTTATGACTGTTAATGATTGCCACATCTTCCTGTGATCATAGCCCTAGACTTCTGTTTGCCTAGTTGTCTCAGATATTTTCAATCCGTTTATTATTTTTTCTGCTCTCCTCTAAAATTTCTCTCCTATTTGTCCTCTTTGTGCCTCATTATGGTGCCCAAACTGAATGCAGCACTTCCAATTGATGCCAAGCCAGTGCTGAGTGGAATAAGCACCTTGCTCATGTGATACATGGTATTTCTGTTAAAACAGCCCAGCATGGCATTTTATTTTTTTTTATTATTATTTTTTTGCAAGAGCATTAAAATAATTTGTGTTCTGTTTTCCATCTCTTATTGTCAGATTTCCTGTCTGTGCTACTACCGAAATAGCTAATATTTATTTTTTTTTTATATAAGCATTTAATTATTCCCGTCTCTATATTTCTCTTGATTTTAAGTTGACTAGTTTTAGTGCATTATTCCATTTTTCAAACCCCCTTTGTGCTCAGAAACGTTAAGACCCTGCCCCGTCTCTGTGTGTGGACAGGTTCAGCACTTTGGATCTGGGCCGCAGGAGTGGAACGGGAACTACGCTCACCGGAGGCAGCAGGCTTACATCCCGGCCAGCGTCGCTGGCCACGCTTTCTCCCTCCCCCAAGGAAGCCCCAATCACACTACTGTGCACGCCCATCTCTCTGGAAGCACCCACCTCGGAGCACAGCCTGCTCTCCTTCCCTACCCGTCGTCGGCGCCCCTCAGCACCGCCGCTCCCGTCGCCCACCTCCTCGCCTCGCCGTGTACCTCAAGACCCTTGTTACAGCACCCGACGTACAGCATCACCCATCCCAGTGGTATAGTCCACCAGGTCCCAGTTGGCATAAACCCTCGCCTCTTACCTTCCCCAACCATCCATCAGACTCAGTACAAGCCGATTTTCCCACCGCATTCGTACATTGCAGCGTCGCCCGCTTACACGGGATTCCCACTGAGCCCAACAAAACTCAGCCAGTATCCGTTTCTGTGAGAACTCAGACACGGTATATTGAGGAAGCTCAATGATAACAGAAGTTCGATTTAAGAAGAAACATGGTATTTATTAAATATTAGCCATGGCACAACAGGAAAATTATTTTTTTGAATCATGTAGACTTGGGTGCAATTTAAACAACTCTGAGCTTTAAAAAAAAAAACTCACTTTTAATGTGTTTTGCACATTTGGTATAACTTGTCTTTGGTCATGTTATCTTCTTATATAGTAACTTTAGACAGGTGACTTATGGGAGCAGAAATCTGGTTTTGCTCCTGCTATTTTTTATAAAATTGCCTTCTAACTCTAGTGCAAGACACGTCTACATTTGGGAAGCCATTCAGTGTACAGAACTCTAGAGCAACAGATGCACATGTGTCAGCAGTACAGTGTAGGAGTAACTTGTTTGTATTGCGTATCTTGGTGTTTAAATGTTGAGTCACTTATCTAAAAGTTGAGCTGTTGTTCTTCTTCACATTGCATGTGTCTTTTGCATGGGCAAAGAAAAAAGCCTAAACATTGCTCTTAAATGTTGTCGTCCTAATAATCTCAGCTGCATTGTAAACTGTTCCCACACATAGTGCCTTAAATATTTGAGGTTGTTAATGTTATTACTTATATATAAATGTTGAGGACTGCAGCACTTAAAAAATTCAGATCTGCTGATTTTTTGATAGCGTAATGCTCATTTTGGGTTTTGTGTGGTATGATTTTAGTATTGGGTGTGTTTTCCTTACTGAGAAGGCAGCATGTTTTGCTGTAGTCGAATTTTGCTGTCTTTTTTTCCCCCCCAGAATGATCTAGCTTCAAGGCAAGACTTTAGTAGTGCTTAAGAAAAGTTGATTCAGTAGCTATTGAGTAGTGACACACAAGACAGTATTTTATACTGGTAAATGGAACTGCAATACGACCTAAGTAGCTGATTTTAAAAGTGTTTGTCTAATTGGATATAATAAAATGTTTAGAGGTGCGGTAGGCATGACTGACTAGCTAATGAGAGGAAAAGCCAAGTGCTCATTGATCCATGATGTGGTTTCATCTTAGCTTGAGCAAACCATGCAGTATTTAATAACTAGTAGCAGAATATTTACTATTGAAGCTTGAAAAGATGTGAGTTCTTTGTGTGCAATCTTTCATTTATGCATGGGAGAGATTTTAGTCTTTTTACATGATAGTATTTGTTTTAGCCTGTTGCGGGTGTTTGCTTATTTAATACATTCCGTCAGGGACATAAATTACATGCTTTTTGCATTTTATTTTATTTTTTTTCCCTTAGGAAGTGTGTCTTTTTGGTTTGGTTTTTTTTTTTGTTTGTTTCGTTTTGTTCAAATGAAGTTGCTTTTGCGGCACCAAAGACTTAATCATCCATTTCCTATAAAAGGTAGCTACTTTTTCATAGACCTCAAGTATACTGTAGTGTAGAGATGGGATTTACAGAAGGTATTAAGCTGAGGCCGTGTTTTAGCTTATGGGCAAGTAATAAATTGTATCATTTATCTTGAATGTATCATAGATAAGCTGCTATATAATGATTGCCACTTCAGATAGCTGTGAAATTAGGTGATTAACTAGTTCTTTCTTAGCCTTCTAATTTCTGTACAAGTCTAATTACATGAAATAGAAGCCGGGTTTGGGGTTTGGTTGTTTTTTTTTTTTTAATTTTTAAATTTTTATTTTGTTTTCATGTTTGAAGTGTCGTAACTACTATACTGTAAATGATGGAAGATGATTGCATATGTTTTTTTGGGGTGTGTTATTTGCATCAGTATTTTATCTCCATTAACTTTGAGCTCATCACTGCATATAAGTGGATGTATTGATGTAACTTAATTTTTTTATGTTTTCATATTGGCATTGTGTAGACACTTAAGAAGCTGCATCTTGCAGGCTTGACTTAACTTTTTTTAAAACAAAATCTGGAATACAATCCTTGCAATGTTGACTGGAATGAGAGTGCAAAGCATTTGAGTTTAACTCTGACAATAAGCTAATAACTGGTAATCTTTTTCTTTACTCCACTAACACAAGCAGTGTTTTATTTAATGAATGTCTGAATGAAATAAATGTGCCTACATTTGATTTATTTTTTAAGTAATAACTAAAATACAACAGTATTAGATCACAAAGAAAAAAAGAAAATACCAGCAGTACATTTTTAATCACACTGAAAATTAAGAAACCTAACTTTTCCCACAAGTTTCAGTGTTTTTAGTGATCAACTCTATGCATTTTGTACGAGTGTGTGTATATAAAGTATACATTAGAAACTAGGGAGTATCCTGATGAATTTGAAATCTTATCAACGCGTATGTAAAGCATAAATATAGGGAGCCAAGACAATGCTCAAATTGGACGTCCACCTTACCACTTCAAACTTGTGCTGTGTGGTCCAGCAGATAGTTTTCTGTTCCCTCCCTTGTGTCGGGAAGCGACATTTTTTTTTTGGTGCTCCCTCCATTGCAGGCAATGGACACACCAAGAACCACCAATGCAAACGGAGAACGTGAGTTTTGTATCGCGATGACAAAAAAAAAAAAAATAATAAAAAATACTGCTTTTTTTTTTTTTTCTGGGGCCATGGGGATCATCATTGGTCTGATGTATTTACTGTACTTTCTTTTTACTGTGCTTAAGGTTTTAAGCTGATGTGCTTGTTCAATTGACACGATTATCTGTATATCACAACGGTATCCTGTCGTGTGCAGGAAGAAGTTGCTGTAAATGCGCCCCAAATTAGATCTGCTGCTCTTTCTATGTATTGTAACGTTAGAAACGTCTGCATTTCCAAGAACGAAATATTTGGGATCCTGCCACAGCTTAAATTCAATATACCAGGTAACTTTTCCCCCCTCCTGCAATACACTCTGAGAGAACGGACTCTTGTCACTGCAAGTGTCCAGGGCCCATCTGCAGAAAAAAAAAAAAAAGTTTTCAGGGCGAGGACCTTTTCTGTGAAAAAAGTCATCCTCTGAGAAGCATTTATACATTATGCCGTTTAAATGCCTTTTTTAAATAAAACACTGCATGACTACGGAATTGCATATCTGCATATTACTTTAATTTGCAAGATTTTATATGAATTTCTTGTGTTCGGTTTTTAACTTTACTTCAGGGTGTTTTATTGGTCAAATATGCTACTGTATTAACTTTTTTGGGGGGGGTTTAATTTTTAAATTTTCTGTTTTTACTGCTAATTAACTTGGTTTGTGTTAAGTAAAAGTTAAATCACACTGCAAGCTGTAGGAAGACTTGTTCTAGAAACACCCAGTGATAGAGACTTGATTAATAAGGTTGAACTGTTACTGTTTAACAATTTGTAGACTTGTGGCTTTTTTTTTTTTGCTTTGGATTTCTATGCTACACTAGTTCGCCATGTAGCAATTGCACTGTGCAATATTACAATATGAGGACTGGGAAAATTTTTTATGGATGTAATGTCTCTTACAGTTTGCGATAGTATTTCTTTCTAGTTCTCAGTGATTTAAATGTGACCAAGCCTTCTGTACTTTGTCACAAAAAGCGGGTTTTCCAGGTGACTATTTTGGTGAGTGTCAAAATAAGAATTTATGGTGTATTACTGTCAAGATTCACTTTGAATTAAAATATATATTGCAGCAGATGACTTTTGGTGGCTTTTATTTTTTGCTGTGTTACATCAAGGCTGGATTAAGGCAAAGATGATGAAAACTCACTGAGAGGGCTCTAAAATTCTGATGTAATCTTTTGATTAAGCTTCTTTCTGAAATTTTAAATTCTATTAGCTTTCAAGGCTTGCTTCAGAGGGCCTTGAGATTCTGCCTTTAGTGTAGCCAAACCTTGAAGGATCTTTGTTCTGGATGTCCCACTTTTACAACCTTTGAAGAAGGTTATCTGGCCCAGGTACCAGCAGACACCACTCTGCTGCCGGAGTTCATACCAAGCCTGTGGCAGCTGCTGCCCGGGCCAGCAGGAAGGTGCTCCCGCTGCCACAGATGGCCCCACGTGGTCAGTGGCTCCAGATGGCCACCTGGTATGGATCAGACATCCATGGAAGGCAGTGCTGTTGTCAGCCAAATGTGCTCACTCTGCCATGGGGTTGCGGTGCTTGCTGAAATCTGGTGGTCGGGAAGCTGCGCGAAGCGGGCGGTTGGGTGCACGTGGGTACGTGTGGGGAGAATGGTTTCTGTGCCCGACATCCCGTTTAAGGTGCAGTCGTAAACGGAAGGTGAAAGACTGAAATGACAGTGCAGTATATTTTTGATACCAAAATATTTCATAATTGACAGAAAGCTTTCGTTTGCTAAATGCAAGGTGCTGCTGATATGCTGCTCTTTCACAGCGTTTGCTCTTCGAGTCAAGTTGGTCGGTGTCTACAAAGCTTTTCTTGCAGCACATGTCCTTCAGGTGACATGTAAACATGTCTGTCCAAGTTCTACAGACACTTCTGTTGCTTCCAAGCTGCTTCTTTCTCTCTCTTTACAGTTACACTTGTGTATTGTTAACTTTGAAATGCATGTTGGTATTTAGATCCCACTTTTCCCATAGCAGATAAGGCCTCTGCCTTGGTGTATTTTACACTCCGACTTCTGGCAACATCTAACAAACAAGGAAAGGCAGCCTGAGCCTTTCAGGGGGAATATGCTGCCTATGAAGTCCTTTTCTGTTCTTGCTTTCTATTAGTAATGATGTCCAGCTGTCTCCTGTGCTCTTCCCCATCCTGTGGAAGGATTGGACTAGAACAGGCAATTACAACTAAGTAATCTTCCTCTCAGCTGTCTTCAGGATGACTAACACTGGTTTAAAATTTGGTGAGTATTTTCCCTGTCACTAGAAGCAAAGGACAAATTTGTACTGCAGCTAAGACAGCAGATTCATTCAAGGAGAAGCTCTTAGAGTCAATGGGGCTGTCACATGCTACAGATCTGTAGTGGGACAAATGGGTTCAGGATGACGCTGTGTTTTCTCAATGAATTAGCTTAGGCTTTCAGCTGGAGAGATGATCAGTCTCTGGGAGGCAACAGAGAAGCTCCTGTTTGGTACCACTCAGAGCAGCTCTGACTATCATGGCAGATTCACATTCATCACTGCAGCTCATGCACACTGAGTTCAGCTCCTGTCACGAGTAGAGGCAGCATGAGTCCAAGTTTTGGGAGAGTTGTGGAACAGTGCTGCTCCCCACTTAGAGAGCTGTAACTTCCTCATAGGCCCACAGTGTTCAGCACGTGTGTCTCATGCAGTGCAGAGCTCTGGGAAACAGCAGAGAAGTGCTGTAGCCCCTCCTGCCTCTCTTCCCAGCTTGGGCTGATGTCCTGCTGTGCAGGAAGGTGTGGATAAGGTTTGATGGTGATTGATGTTAATTATAACTTCCTGCCTTTCACCTGTAGGAAGTTGCATTTTCTGCCTTGGGAGAGGTGGGTACGTGCTTCTAGCACATTCAGGTAATTCTGCCTGTCCTTGTCGTGGGGAACAGCACTGAGTTTTCACTGAGCTTTATGCTCAGAGGCTGAAACACACATTTGAAAGGATTCTTCTCCTTAAATCCTGAAATAGAAGCATCTACACCATGTGGATAGAGGTGCCTGGAGGCTGGACTCCATTCTCTGGTTGTACTTGTAGAGTGAGATGTTCGTGGGCTTGGCCTGGTTATTCATCAAAATGAAAAATGCCAACTGTTCTGTTGCAAAGAGAGACCATGGCCTGCCACCTGCTTCATGGGGAAGTCACTGCATGGACACGGTGGCTTCTCATCCATGGATGAGATCCTCATCAATGGGTTCCTTCATAAAGACAGGGAAGACTCGGAATGTTTGCAGTAGGTCTGCTGCGAGCAAGGTGGTTTAGGACCTGGGTTTTACTCATCATTTCAACCCAAGTCAGATAGGTGATGTCAACTTGTTGCTCTGGGGCAAAGGCAGGGGAGTCCATGCAAACATGAATTTTGGGCTCTGTGTATATGGCTTGTTATTAAATAGCGTGGGAGAGTAGTGTTCATCCTGGTCCTGTGGAGGAACACTCAATACATCACAGCCAACTAGAGAGGATCTTCACTGGCATGGAGCATCTTGATTCTTTCTCCACAATGAGACATCTCTTCTAGAATATGGACTAACATCTGGCATTCAGGATTCCCCAGCTGAGAGGAAAACCAGGTTAGAAGTATATGCACTTCACCCCCCTGTGCCATGTGTGTGACCATGGAAGGGAAACTCATGGACAAAATATATGTGCTGCTTGCAAAAAAAAGTACCTGATAATCAAGAGTACAGAGCATGTGGATGCTCTAGGAGAATACATATGTAGGAAAGCAAATCTCAGTAGCAAGTATGGATGCACAGATACTCCCCAAGAGGTAGAAATTACCTCTCTGGACAAAAAAAAATACCCAAAGAAATAGGATAAGGAAAGTCAAGTTCGGGAAGTAGTTAACAACAGTTACTTGGTAAAACTCCATGATTTTTCACTAGTCATCATTCTAGAAAATTTAAAAAATCCTTTGAAATAACATCTAAATCCAGTATTTGTGTTTTATACATAATAGATACACACACACACACACACACACACAGAGTGTAATAGAAAATTAAGAGAAAATCGTAATGGTTAAGAGCTAGATTGGGAAAAATCGCTTTCAAAATTGAATTGCTGATGGATCTATTACAAAGCCGAGTTATGACAAAACCTAGAAAAATATGAGAATGATGGAATGGGGTTTCCGCAGGACTCCCTAAAGGTACCACCAGAGGGCCCTGCACTAAACGCGTTGGCCCTGGATTAAGCGAAGTGATGAGCAAGCTCTCCATTTCACTATAATAATCATACAACTGCCATCTTTGCTCTGGATAATCGTTAGTTGTCATCATGTGGAAGCTAATTTTTGCACAGACTGAATTGGTGATTTGAGGAAAAAGTAAAACGGCAGAAATGGGACATATTAGTGGCCAAGTAATTGCATTGGTGACATAGGGAGTGTGCTGAACTAGTCAGATAAATATGTAATTATGGGTTACCATGGCTTTGGGGATGCTGTGAGCGGCTGGGTAGCAGATGTCAAGCTGGGGCTGGCCCCTGACGAGGCTTGCTCTACCTCAAAGGTAGAAGGATTTCTCAGAAAGACAACTTCCAGCAGAACAGAATTGCTGCGAGGCTGGGGCAGCGTTCCTGCGTGTAAGCACTGCTGCAGCCTTTCAGAATCAGCTCTCGGGGTACCGGAGCATGTTGTGCCCCAAGGCACATTTGCTTTGCTCCTCCTCCCGCCATCACTGCCTGTTGCCTGCAGACATGATCTGGGAACTAAAAGAATTCATGGAAGCATCCCAGGAAAGAGATGACACTAGAATAAAGATTTCACGTTACCTCTGCTGAAAATAGTAATTGCAGAAAACACTAAATGAACTGCCCCGATGTTTGGTGTGACTGTGACTGAGGCAGCTGCTGTCCATAACATGTTTCGTGTGCTACTTGATCTCCTGGTGTACCTTTAAGCATCACACAGACAAACCTCTGTCCTTTGGAGCTCCCCTTTCAGACTGGAGGTCTGAGCCGTGTCCTGGGCAGGGACGGAGTGACCGACCGAGTGAGCACAGGGCAGAGGCGACAGGCGTAGACCTCTCCTGTGTTTGCACAGTGGGCGGCTGAGGTTGTAGCTGCCAATTTGGTCACCCCCTGCGGTACACTCGAGTTTCTTTATTTCCAGAGCTGCTTCTGCACTCGCAGAAACGCTGCCAGTGGTGCTCGGCGCTGTGGCTGCTTGCTTGCTGCCTGGTGCCTCGGATAACTGGGCCATCTTCGGGAATGCCCTGGCCCGGAGACTCACAGGTCGGGACACCAGCCGGCAATAAGCGAGCAGGGAGTGACTTTGAGTCTTGCCAGGCTCGCAGGACAAGTGTGAGCGGGTGCAGCTTCGTTTACACCCAAAGATAGCGCCGGGCACAAGCGATTGAAGAAAAATTAGGGAGGCAACTGATCGCCCGGAGCTGATGCCGCGTACCACGTGCCCTGGCCGGCACAGCGGGCAGGGTCCCGTCCCCGCCGCCGGCTGCCTCACCTGCCGCGGCTCCTCCCGAGCGGCGCGGGGGGCGGCGGAGGGGTCCCCGCGGCCCCGGCAGCGCCGCCCCCGCTCCCGCCTCCCCGCGCTCGGAGGGCGGGGAGCGGGGCCGGCTCTGGCGGCGCCGTGAGCCCTTTGTGGATGAAGGAGCTGCGTTCCGCGGCGCTCCCCGCGCCGGAGCCCGAGGGGCCGCGCCGCCGCTGAGCAGCTCCGGCCCCGCGCGTCCCGCGGGCGGCGATGCGGCGCCCCCCGCTCCGCCTCCCGCCGCGCCTGCCCGCGGAGCCGCTGCTGCTGTAGAGCCCGGCGCGGCGGCGATGGGCAGCGCTGCCCGCTGAGGGGCCGAGCGAGGCGCGGGGATGCGGCGGCGGGCGGCGGGCGGGCGGAGCGGGGCGCGCCCCGCGGGGCCCCGAGCAGCGCCCGGCCCCGCGGCCCCGCGCAGCGCCCGGCCCGCGGGCGGGGGAGCGGGCCCGGCCGCGGCCGTGGCCGTCCTGCTGCTCGGGGTCGTCGTCGCCCTCCTGCCGAGCGCCCGCGCCGAGCCGGGTAAGGAGCGCGGAGGGCGCGGGGAGAGCGCGGGGAGAGCGCGGCGGCGGCGCCGCTGTCACGGTGACAGTAGTGACAGTCACCGCCCTGCCCGCGGGGACGGCGCGGCTCTGCGGGGACGCTCGGGCTGCCCTGGCTCCCTCCCGCCCAGCAGCCTCACCTGCTGCAGTGGCACAGGGTCCCCTCCTGCCCGAGCCGCGCACGACAACGGGAATCAGTGCCCTGTGCCCGGCTCTGCCGAGAGCGGGGAACAGCCCGGCGCTTCTCTTTGTCTGCCGCATCCCTTCTTATCCGCTCTCTGAACAGAGGCTCCTCTGTGGAGAGGGGATGCTCGGGTTTTCTTCCTTCCCCTAAAGGCAGCCGGAGCTGCCATCACCCCCCTGGTCTGCCTGGCTGGCGCACAAATAACAGCTTTTCCTATGGGACGGGATAGTTGGATTAGATCTTGTTCCTTGCAGAGAAAGGGACGGGCAGAGGCTTTTGTTAAATGAAAGGATCATTTCCAGTGATTCTCTGTGTGTGTGGCGGGGAGGAGGGGAAGGTAAGGAGGGGTTAGGAGAGGGCAAGCTGCGCTAAGATCTCAGCGCTACACCTCAAATGCAGCTGAGAGCTCCGACAATTTCTGGGTTATATTTTTCCTATTTCCCTTGACTTTTTAAGTCAGGCACTGTCCTGCGCTCTCCAGTCTTCTTACAGCAGCCGATATACTCGGTGACCTCAATGCAGAAATGGTTACTGTTGCTGGCAGTTATTGTATGAGCCAGATAGAGATGCCAAATATAATTCTGAGGCTATGCTAAAATAATTGAAAGAGGCTAAAATTGATATATGGCTAGATTGATCCTATGGTTTTAAGAAAGGAGTAGGGATGTGAATCCATATTTTGAAGCTGTTAATATGTATGTACAGTAATTGTATACAATTGATGCCAGTTTTATGGCCATAATATAGTAAGGTTTGTCATTTGCAGGTTGTAGGTTGATGGAACAGTGCCTCATACTGCATTACTTGTTCCGAGCATGTAAATACCACAGTTTGATTTATCTCTATAAGATGAATTGACCTATGATCAGAGGAATGGCTAATTTTTTACCTTGGCTTGTCAAGTCAGTCTGGATTTCACAGGAACTCTGGCACCACATCTAAGTTATGAAATGTGTCTTCCCTCGGAGGTAGCCAGGCTCTCAGAGCTGAGTTGCAAAAGCTGAGGTATTTCTGACAATGCAACAAGACACCTTTTCATGCTTGAGGGTGAGATTCAAGAGTAGAATGAAGTGTACGAATATTCTGCTTCTTCCTTTGTGGTCTGTATGTCTTTATGACACAGCAATGATCTCACTTTTAAGTGAAGAAATCCAACAGAGTTAAAAAATATATTTGTAGGTATCTCATAGCCAACACCTTGGGAAAAAAAAAAAGAGTTGGGAAGCCAAAATAGTGCCAAGCCAAAGTACATAACCATGGTGTATATAGCACATACTGTGTAAAATACTGTCACCAGTTGGCATTACTTGAGGATTTCAGATTATCAAGTAGTTACATTAAGGTACTAAATGTAATCTGTTGTACTTCATAGCTTTGAGCTTTACAGCTGCAATCACCAGTAAAACTTTATTACTTCTATACAGTGTTGATCAGTAGGTACAATTGCTGAGGTGCATAAATTGGATGTCAATCAACCTTAAAAGCTCTGTCTTCCACTGAGATGGAACACATGAAGTGCTGTCTCCCATTGAAGGCAGGGGCAAAATATGTGGTAGAGCCATATTTTCAATCAAGAACATCATTTTTGTCTAAGAAGGTTAACTTCTATATGTTTACATGGAGTAGTCTACATGTAGGTCTGGATTTCTGTTCAGCCAATGTGATTTTACAGATTCCCGTGTTTAATATGGTAATGTGTATGGTTCATAGAGCACATCCACTGCCATGAAGTCCAAGTGGTGTTCCATGATGCATGAAACATTGGGAAGAGCATTTGTCATGCACCATTTTTACTAAAGCTTTCTCCACTGGGGAGCATTTCCCTCTGTGGGAAATTTATATCTGTACATATGTACACACACAGATAAACGCTCGGTTCTTCTGCTGGGTTTGTAGGAGACATGTGGCATCACTGTGTGTGAAGATGAAGCAGGGAACCCAGGGCATGGAGAGAAAAGACAGAAGTTTTACTCTGGTGCTAGTGCTTCAGAAGACAACTCAAAAGTTTGCTGATCCCTGAGATCTACACCTCAATAAGAATTGAACACAAAGGGCAAATATCTCCTTGAGAAGAGATCCTGGCAGGACGAGGTGTTGGGCTCCCAGGTGTTGGGAGACTGCTTATCTTTCTCTTAGGGTTTCAGAGCCAGACCTCAGTGCTGGTCAGTGCCTCGGGACACTTTCACCATCGACTACAGTGATTAGGTTTCAAACAGCAGATAAGAAGCTTTATTTTTAATTTTAGAAGTATTTTATGCTTCTTTAGCTGGATATATACTGAACTGCTCAGTGACATGCAGAATTAGTTATTAACTTCAACATTATGTCAACCTCAGGACCACTGCTTGAATTCAGGTTGAAAATAAAATTACATTGTCCACCATCATCAGAATCACAAAACTGTGATTTCTCGTGGATTATAGAATAACCAGTGCAAAAACTGAGTCAAACTGAATATATCTGTCAAGAAAGGGAAAAGTAATGCTCCAAAAATCGAATGAGGGAATGTGCAGTTTTGGGTTGACTCCTGCCATGCTTTTACCCCAGGTAAAACTCCTTCATGAATCAGAGCCATGAACCCTGGGCAACTGTTTCCCCCTGGTGGAAGAAGAGAGAGGCAGTTTCTGAAATGGGTGTAACTTTGAAAGGCAGATATTGAAATCTGATTTGATATTGGTGGAGCATCTCTCAGCCAGTCAATACATGTCACTGTTGTTTGAGTAAAACAGAGGAAAAGGTGTTGCTCACAGTTGTGTTGCTCATGAGATTAATCAACTGATCAGAGAGACTGCAGGGGGGGATTCTGGGCTAACAAAGTTTTAAGAAACATTAAAATATACCTTTTACACTTTCCATCATCCTCTATGCTTGCTTGTGTATTGTGTTTGAATGATAAACTTGTCAGGGAAAGGTCCATTTCTTCCTGTGTTTGCTGAACTCCAGCACAGTGAGATCTCACCTTAATTAACAATGATTTCACAAACAATAACGACACCTCCAGCGCAGTGGCTGCTTCTCGCAGCTGGAGCTTTCATTGAACAACTCGGAGAGTGCTCCGTGCCAGCTGCTAAATTGCCAGTCCCACCTCCTCCTCAGTGGATGGCAGCTGCCTGAGCACTGACTCAACTCCTCTCAGCTCCTGAAACTCCACAAAAAGCACCGGGATTGGCACATCTGGAAGCGTACAGGTTGGTGTTTTCACTGCCAAAGGAGCCGCTGGAGAGGCGAGGACTGCGAGCGTGTGGGGCCCTAATCCTTCCCTGGGTCCAGCTCTGCATTGTGGAATTTGGTGAGGACGTAGAAAAAGGCACTCTGCACCTCCTGGGGTTGCTCTCCAGAATTACCAGTCCAGCATTTTAGGAAATCAGTAGTTTCAGGGTGGTCACGTTGCTATTTTGATGTTCTGATCATCTCAACAGAGCAGAATACATGCAGGCATCTCAGATACCCCATGAAAGAACAGTGGAAAGTTCAAGTTCTAACTCATTCCAAACAAAACAGGGATCTACAGCAAGGGTGGAAGCATTAGGCCACCAGGAGCATGAAAAAGATGCTTCTTTGTGAGGATTTGAGGCTTTGATGGATATGCTTGGTATAGATCCACCAGTCATGAGTTACCTTCTTCCACTACATTCCTGGATCTGACCTGATCAGTAAATAATTAGCTGATAATAAACAATCTGGTTTTAGTATTCACATAGATATCTAATATGTCAAATTCATATACACTGAAACCACTTTGATGAAACTGTTTTCTGTAGATTAAGACAAGCAAATATCTCAGAGTAGCTTGAAGGGTATCCTTGTGTGTTATGCTTGTATGGAATGGTTGTCTCTGCTGCAGTAAATACTGATGATATTTGCATATTAATTTAGGCTTTAATGTCAAAACATGTCAACATTTCATTAAAAAAATAAAATGAACATTTTAGTGATTATTTACTGTTCTCACTCCCTTCTCTGAGTCCAAGGAAGGAACTACTGCACTTACTGAACTAATCTGTCTTTTATGGCTAATCCTGAGGAACATGGGTGAGGCACTGCCTTCCTACCAGCCAGGTGGGATAGCACTGGTGGGCTTTGGACACAGGGCATTTCTCACCTAAAACACCCCAGAGAAAAACGTTCCCAATGAGGGTATTTAGTTAGAAGCAGTACAGGATATGGGAAAAACAATGTACAGCTCACACACAGCAGTTTGCTGCTGAAGTATTTGTAGTGTTCTTGGCACAGTTTTGAAAACCCATCAGGATCTTCCCTCCTTTCCCTTCTCTCTCCTTAAATATAACTTTCAATAATTCCAGATTTGAAAAGGTCTATGACAAAGGGTCTGGAAAAGAAGCCACTAAGAGTAAAGCCCAGTCTTTGACCTGACATTTTGGTGGCAGTCCTACATACATGCAGAAGGGCATAAAGGGAACACCCGCATCTCGTAATGGTTGTCACAGGTGGAAAGGCCAGTAATGTTCTTAGAGTCTGAAATGGAGAAATTATGCCAATAGGTGTCTGAAGGTCATCTTTGAACAGAGATGATGCTTTTAAGGGCCTCTCAACAGCACATATAAGTGGCTTGGTTTGGCTACTCCCTTTTATAAAAGAGGAGTTATCGCAGAAAATCGAAAATCTGAAGATATAAGTACTATGGGTCCCATCTGGGTGACAAGAAATGATTATGTTATTAATATTTAAATAACAATTACTTTTGCAGGTATGAGGTATATACAGTGTGTGTAGCAAAATGTAACACACATAATGTTAACATGGTCTGGAAGTTAAATTAGGGCAAATTCCTTTCTGTATTCTGGGCGCAGGAGTAAGGAAGGAAAAGTGAAAGAACATTCAAAGATGAAAACTATAAAAATCCAGACTCATAAGAAGGTGCCTCTTTCCTCATTTTCTCTACAGCACATTGCTGTAGATCTGAAACTATCTACAATACCTTGTCTAGCATTTTAATCACCTGTTAGCAATATACCAATGTTCACCTTTTAAGGGAAATACCCCGGCTTATTCTTACTGACTTTGAATAGGAAGAA